GTTTTCCAGGAACGGAGTACCAGGCCTTGAGGGCTGTGGCGACGTGGGCCTGGCGAGCTGAGGTCCTCCCGACCTGACTGCCCGTGGCGAGGTCGGGGCGGCTGGTCTTTCTTGTCTGCCATGGGTGGAGGCCTGGCTCCTTGGAGGGTTCTGGGGGGCCTCTCCTTGGCGAGATGGGTGCTCCTCCTGTCGGCGAGACCTAGCTCGCTGTGAGACTAGGTGCCGAGGGGTAAGCTGTGATTGTTGAAGCTGAGGTTGAGGTAACTGGGGAAATTGCTGCTGATACTAATACTGGGAGACTTGGTGCAACACATGTTGTTGATAGAGCTGAAGTTGCTGGAACTGTTGCATTTGGGCCTACATGGCCCGCATGCACTGCATCAAGTCCTCCAGTTGGTTCGGGCTGGCCGCTGGGGGCACGACCGAAGGTTCGGTGAACGTCGCTCCGACTGTAGCAGGGAGTGGCGCGACGACAGATGCCACTGCAAGAGGCACATTCAAGCTGGGGATTCCGTCCACCGAGAGGGAGACGGTGAACTGTCCGATGCAGACAGTAGGAAGCTGGGGTTGTTCCCTAGAGTTATCCATTTCCGTGCTTCGTCCGACGTTGCTAGAGGAAGCCATGAGTGTTGGGTTTCTGGAGAGTAAAGAGACATGAAAGTTTGGAGAAAGGCTTTTCGAAGCGATTCCCACAGACGATGCCAAATGATGTAGCGCGATCCGGTCACTCCTAGTTGGCACTCACGTGGCTCCTGAGAGGTACCTGAGACGAGAAGAAAGAAGAAGAACTCCTAGGGGGTTTGCCCGGCGGGAACACTCTGATGATTAAGTCAGTATTCTGTGCGAGAAGCAAAGGAAAAACGAAGGCTAAGAGTGCAGATTGCGTAGGTGGTTCGAAGATACCTTGTTCCTTGAAAATCAGCTTCTTATAATAAAATTCCGTTGCTTCAGGCCCTCTGGCTTATGACAGGGCAGGTATAACCGCCCCTGTCAGTCTGCCACAGCCATTACAGGCAAGGCTGAGGTGGCACGCGCGGGGCCGTCATTGTAGGGTACGTGCCTGCCAGGTGTAAGGCACCTTCTAAAGGTGGCTGGCGCGACGCTATCTAACGAGGGGCATGGCTGATGTCCCCAGATTTGTCAGGTACGGTGGTCGGGCAGGAGATCTTTCGGTGGCGCGCCGAACTACCCTTTCGCGAGTTACCCTGTGCCGGGCTATCCCATAGGCAGCGAGCTGCCTGTGGCAAGCTATGTCGAGCTACCTGGCCCGAAGTGTTTTCACTCCAGGGTGTCTAGAGGTGGGTTGGTGAGCTCCCGTCGAGGAGTGGTCCGAAGTCCAACGGGAGGAGCTCGGGTATAGAGAGAGGTCAGGGTACCCCGACCTCAGGGTATCCCGAAGTGCCTTAACCTCGGAGAGGAGACGCAGGCAAGACGGCTTTTGGCGAGTAGTTTATCTGTCCAGTTGCCGAGCTCAACTCGATGGGACCCCTCCTCCCGAGTTGTGGTCATGTTAGTTGTGCTGTCACGCTGAGTCACTATTTAAACAAGGTCATACCCACGTGTACCTGTACTGTGAGGTCGGGTCAAATCACCTTCCATCAATAATAAGGGCAAAAAGTTGCCCTTAATGGCTAGAAACCCATTTCCTAATAAATGGGATATCAAATGGTTAAAAAGCTACCAATGCATTTCTTTTTTACCCTGAGATCCGGATTAAGACAGGGATGAAGTTAGGATTTTATTTTCTCGGGGGAGGCCAAACATTAATAAACAGGCAGCCAAAATATAAATTTAAACGGGCATTTGTGAGGATTTTCAAGGCTGGGGGGTTTCTTGAAAAGTAAAAATTGGGGTGGGGATGAATTTTGTGAGTTTACAATTTGACTATGTAATAATATTTTGAATTTTATATGAAAAATAATTAATAGTTTATATATTTTTTACAGGTTTAATCAAATAATTGAAAAAGTTAATGTTTGTTAATGCTATTTTAATGCACTCTCAAATGTTGAGACGATCTTGCATTTTCCTGTACGAAAAGAATTTGGGTTCTGAAAATCAACCCGCTTCGGCTTTTGGTGTGGATACAGATTTGAAAGGGAGGCGGATAAGGTTTAGAATTTGGAAAACCCTCTCTTAACCCGTTTCATTGCTATCTCTACTTGGAGTCTCGGACCTGATAAATAACTGGTCTATAGGGTTGTCAACTGTCCAGGTTTTGGTTTGAGACAGGGTAGAACCATTCTAAACCGATTGTTAAAATTAATAATACTAGAACAAAACCAGCCTGATCGGTTTTATTGTTTCAAAACCGGAATTGAACCATTTAGTAATTGGGACAATTGGGTCTAACCCGATTGGACCTGACTAAACAAAATCCCTATTAATACCTAAGACCTATATGTTTTGATAAAAAATATTTTATTCAATAACCTATTATTAGTAAATGTGACGAATAGAAAAATGGAAAGGGTTTTAGATTTTAAACTTGCCTAAAATTATCATGTTAGATATGCAAAATACTTATATCGGTTCAGGTCTAATCGGTTTGGACAGCCAAAATCAGTCCCGAACCAATAATAATCGAGACAGAAAAATTAAAACCAGAACAACCCATCGGAATGATTCATAGAACCAGAACCGTTATAAACGGTTCGGGTCTGTGAGTAGACCCGAACCATTGACAGACCTACTGGTCTTGTATTCCCATTGAACGATCACCAACTGATGGTGGCAGGTGGCAGCTCAGTTGGTAAGTTAATTGGAGACTTGGGATCAAATCCGGTTGCTCGCAGGCCCGTCACAGCTCATATATCACAAGATTCACAACTTTGCCACTCGGGGGTTCCACCACCCGGGACTGGTCCTGATTCCTGAACGCGTTATCAACTGGACAAGACAGAAAACGAGAGGATGGGACCTGGCCGTGGTTGTCCTTTTTTAAAAAAGAAAATGGCACTATTGTCACTTTAACTCACCTTCTCCCATCCTTCTCTCCCTCACACCCCCCCCCTCTCTTTCTCCACCGAGAGTCTGTGAGAAGACGAACGCAGCTTTGACAGTGATCCTCCGGTGAAATCCCAGTCATTTTAACGGTTTCCATTTCAGCTTATACATCACAGGTTTCGAAATACTTCTTTGATATTCCTTATTACTTTCTGGGCAAGTACTGATATCATTTGTCTTCATCTCTGGTGGTACCTGTTTTAGTTTAATTTATTATATTAATATTATTGTTTTATTCTCTGTAGATGGATCGCCATTAACTACTTTTCTTTTGTTTGGCGCCTTCTCCTCGGAGTATTCCGTCTCCAGTTTTAGGGCTTTTTAAGCAAATCTTAATCTCCTCTGGATTTGCTCCCTGTCACTGCTTCCACATCACCGCACTAGAATCTGTTTTGGAGTTTCCTCGCAGTCCACGCAAATCTGCTTCATTTTGGAGCTTTCGCTTCACTGAACTAATCGATTACATTTTGGAGCTTTGTATTTGGAATTCTCCGGTAAGCAACAATTTCGATCTCATTTTCCAACTCTCGTCGCTTTCTGAACTTTTTTACAGGAATAATCTTTACTCCCCCAAACCGCCTACTTTGATTTTGCAATTCTGATTTTTTTAAAAGCTGGGGTTTAAGTAAAAAACTCTAAGCTATTCTCGTTTGTGAGTTGTGATTATTTTGTGTATGATTCTTTATTTGATAGAAAATAAAAGAGAAACAGAAAGTTGAGGGAGGGATCATTATAAATTTTGTGAAATTTTTAAGAAAATATTTCCTCAACTTTCTATTCTCTTCTTATTTTCTATCAGACCAAAAACAGCCTTAGTGATATCATTTTATATCAAATCCTTAGCTTAGCTTCCATCTATTTTCCATTCTTTTCTCGCCATTAAAGCTTTTCTTCGTGGTTTCGGTCCCCATTTACAGAGGTTCTGGTCAACCCTTCCACTCGGGACTGGGGGACAAAAGAGGTGAAAAAAAATGCTTCGATCTGTTATCTCCTTGCTCCTCTGCTTCTCGGCCATGGTGCCGTTCCTGAAATATACGTCGGCTATCGGTGACGTGATAACATGCTCTGGGACTGTACCGATGAGATATCGGAGCGACAAAATCTCCATCACGGACTTCGGGGGTGTCGGAGATGGGCGTACATTGAACACGAAAGCGTTCAGGGCAGCGATATACCGGATCCAACATCTGAGGAGGAGAGGTGGTACGCTACTCTACATCCCTCCAGGCGTTTATCTTACCGAGAGCTTTAACCTTACCAGCCACATGACTCTCTACTTGGCCAAGGATGCCGTCATAAGAGCTACTCAGGTAAGTAAGCCGTAATCTGTTGTATGTAACTATGTATAAACATTGTACTTTCCACGGGAATTTGATCATTTTTGTCCAATGATTTGTATTCCTCTCACCCCTCTTTGCGATGATGATGATGATGATGTTTATTCATGGCGAAACTAATGATTTTTTTTTTCTTTTTAAGACAATGATTTGGACGTATCGGGGACACACCCACTAGGATGTGCAGACAGAAAACGAATCGGGATTAGCTGCACTTAATGGCAGTGTTAAGGGCTGTTTAACCAATAATAACGCTTCGCGACAGTCGATGCGTGCGAAGATGCGAAGTGAGTGGTCGTGGCCTCGTGGGGATATACTCTTCATGTGGGGCGTTATTATTAGTTAAACAGCACCTAACATACCATCAAGCAGTTGCAGCTAATCCTAACACAAGAAACACAGCATGTGCCCATACCATTCCCCATCTTTTATTATTATTTCCTCCAATAACGGTACTATGGTGCTTCACTGCTTCCCTTCTCGTCATCCGTTACCCATGCTACCCAAAAATCTATAATATTGAAGAGTGCATAAATGCGTGCACTTGCTGCAAATAATATCCCTAATATTTATTTATTTAATGACCATATAAGGTGCCTAAATAATGGGCAGTTGCGTTATAACTCCTTTGGTATTGGCTGTCATGCCAAGTTGTATTGATAGCAAAGTTGGCCCCCCAAATGTCGGATACGACAGTTGTGGAGCAGGAGGAAGATTATAATGATTTCTACTTGTCTATTCATTTTATTTCATGCCTATTATTGTCATGGAAATTGGAAAGCCTCTTTAAGGGAACGGGATCTGCTCTTCACATGGGGGCGCCTCACATGCACATCCACCGTGCATTGGGAACATCTCCCATGAATAATAACTTACAAGTACGGGAGATGTTCCCAATGCATGGTACGATGTGCAAGTGAGGTGCCCTGTGTGAGGAGTAGATCCGGTCTCCTCTTTATGGTCCTTGGTGGGTTTGGGGAGGTTTTGTTTTTTTTTTTAAAGCCATAGGGGAGGTTTTGTTTTTTTTTTGAAGCCATTAAGGAGGTTTTGTAAATTGTAAACTCTATCCGCTTCCTTAGACCTCCCAACTCCTATCCTCCTCAAGACTCAGATTAGATTTTCAGAATCCAAAACCCTCCCCACACATGAAAATGCAAGACCCTCCTCAACCCTACCCCTCACATTTAGGGACGGGTTGGGTCTAGACCCCACATCTAAGTTCTTATTATTTTCTATTATATATAAGCAATAAACAAGTAAAATAGCATGAACAAACATCAAAATATCTAATAATTTGATTAAAACGTGTAAAAGCCACAAACTATCAATTATCCTTAAAATAAAATTCAAAATATTATTAAATTAATATGCCTTCCAACAATATGAGAGTCATGTGTACCCTAATACCGTACCCTACCTGTATCCATACGGGATGTAAAATCCCAAAACCCGTCTTTGCCCCAAAATTCGTTTTTCAAGCAAAAAAAAAAAAAAAAACCTGCCCCGTCGAGGTGGGTAAGGGCAGGTACCCACCAAGTAGGGTAGAAATTTCCATCCCTAGGTATTGATGCAGTGAACTCCAGTTCCTCTATTTTTTTGGTATCAATTAATAGGAGGTTCCATGAAATCTGGGGTAGCAGGTTCAAATAATATATAAGCAAGTATGATTAAGAGAATCATAATGATAATAATAATATTATTATTAGAAAGATCATTTACACCATCCAGTTTCACAAACCAATCTGTGACTTGATCTACTTTCCTGTAGGCAATGTATTAGTTTTACAAAATGTATCCTATGGTATCCAAGGGCGCTGAGCTTTATTAAACTAGGCTTGTTTAGCCATATGAGCTCAAATTCAGGCCCATGAACTGAGATAGCTTGGCTTATTTACAGTGGCATTTAAGATAAAATACTTTTGCAATTGCAAAAAAAAGGGCATAGTGATATAAAATATTGCCTTCAGGGGTATCCCCTCTACTTATTTTTTAAGAATGAATGTTATTCAAATATGTGCTTTAGGGTTGAAATAGGACAAGCCAAGAAAAAACATGATGTTAGTTTTAGAGATAGACAAATTTGTCCCAACTCCAATTATCCTTTCCAAACCTTATCTTATTAATCTCCTCTTAATCACTGAGCTACTTGATAGGTGTTGACCTTAACTTGGGTCGACTAAGGGATGGATAAATGAGCAAAATAAAAAAGCTATTGATCTTGAATTAATTACAGTACAGAGGATTAAATAAATCACTAATAAACAAATGAAATTTAATGAAGGATAAAATCACCTATTTTGAGAAATTAATAAGAGGTTGTTCTTGAGCCATCTTGTTACTAAATGCAAGTATTCAAACAAAATAACCCTTAAATGAATTTAAGTTCTATCCTTAAAAAACAATATTCTATATCATTGAGCCTCTTTTAGAAATTTTTAAAAAGATTTTAAGTGCAAAAAATTTCATACATAGTCCTGCATTCCTAACCGGAGGTTTATGTATTACATCAAAATCAATTTGGCTGGTCTCCAAAGGACTCTAGCACTGCTTATTAGGCCAATGAATTAGATGGGCAAGAGTCAACTGATCATATTTTTATTCTAATTTTTACTTTTTGGTTGGTCTCTATCTATTGACCAATATTTGCCATTAAAACATAACAAACTTGTGGCACAGTACTCCATTTCGAAGGTTGGGTCTGGGCCATTGGACCAGATTGGGATCTGGGACACCACAATTTGTGAACTGTCCAATATTTAGAAGATTTGGAGCCACAATACACTTGATCCCATTTTCACCATGAAGCATGATACCAGTAATTTTTTTCTGCTTACATTTAGATAGTGGTATCTTCTTTTTTGATCTATCCAGTAGGATCCTGATCCTCTAAATATGGAAAACTGGTATCTGAGTGTCCCAGGATGCAAATGTAGGCCATGTAGCCCCAGACTAAAGATTGTCCCTTGAGAAGATAGAACTTGGGGTTCTAGTATTACTTTTAGAGTGGTTTGGCAGTTAAACCAGGGAACCCGTGATGCTTACAGCTTTCCAGTTCAATGTATGATCCCATTTCCACTTTCCAAAACATTGGCATGAATTCATAAGCAGATGTACTGAAAATGTGATTAGATGAGTGCCTATGGTAAAGGATAAAGGTCATTTGTCATCTTTATCATTTTTTGTTTCAGAATCTGGACCATATTGGTATTTTAACCCGAGATTTTTATAGATACTGCCAAGAGGTGTGGGAGAAAGATTGTAATGAGTTGGATGAGGATCAGCAGTCTATTTTGGCTGTAGGGGAAGAAGGTTCTAATAAAGAGGTTTGTTTGAGTGAGGTGATTACTGAGATGAAGGGAGTTGAAGTGGTTACTTGAGGAGAACGCTTTACGGATGAAAGGGTTAGCAACCAATCAGAGGTGGAGATTGATAGACAAATTAAAGAACAGGTTGCAGCTGATAGGTTAGTTGATGGAGGAAGTTTTGTTGAAATTGTGGCAGGGAAGCTAGAGAAAGATTTGGGGAGAAGGAAGATCAAAGCAGAGGAGTTTGGTAAAGGAGAATAGAGAGATCAGTGGATTCTCCTTGAACTTGAAAAGAGCAAGGGGATCAAGCTCTTATCAGCTGGTCCATGTGACCAACGTATTTTCTTGGCTGAAAGATGGGCTGTTTAGGGCTGGTCCTTGCAATCAATGTACAAGAGGAAGAAGACATTAGTTAAAGCAAGACACAATAAGGAAAATTTGTAAGATTCACCACAAGTTGAAGATTAGGATCTTTTGCAGATAAAGGATGCTGATCACGTGAGTGTACAATCAGAGTTTGTTGATTCAACTTCTGTTGGTGAAAGAACAGATTGGGATGGCAAAGATTCAGATGTAGTGGAGAGTGAGGATGAACATGTTTTAGATCAAACAAGACCACTTGAGAAAAAGTTGGATCTAAGATAAAATGGTTGAGGCAGCTCCTCTCAAAATAGCCCTTTTTACATGGGTAGCATCATTGGGAAATTTTGTTTAACATCTGAAAACCTGGTGAAGAGAGGAATGATGGTGGAGCCTAGCAAATATATAATGTGTGGTGAAAACTCGAGGACATGGAATATTTATTCATGCATTGCAAGTTCACAAGGGAGCTATGGCTGAAGGCTTTTGAGATGCTTTGGGGTGCATTTGCTTTCCAAAAGGTTAGCTGGAGTTACTATATGAAGCTGGAGTCTAGCTGGTCTATCAAAAAAAGGAAAAGTTATTTGGGGAGTAATTCCACCAGTTGCAACGTGGACAATATGGACAGAGTGGAACGGGAGATTTTTTGAAGACAAATACAATACAATAGGCACAATATTGAAAGGATTTTGGAGAAGAATATTCTCTTGAGCGGTAACACATAGGCTCTTCAAGAGTATTGCCATACAACTCTTTTTTTGATGGCAATAATCTTTTTGTATCTAATTGATTAAAATGGGATTTTGGGATGCACAAAGAAATTTCTGATTCCTGCTCAGTGCCTCATTGTGCAGGACTTTGTAATTATGCTTCTCCTTTGGTTTGAATCAGGGAGACGGGGGTGTAGAGGCTTTCGTTGGTATCAAGTTCTGGAGGTTGGCATTGGGCGGTTTTGGGTTGGAAGGTTCTTGGATAGTTGGATGTGGTATTTAGCTCTTGATTTGATTGTTAAGGGTGCCCTTGTGAGAGTTGGTTGTTTGGGACTCAGGAGGCAGTTGGTTTTGTTGTTTTTTTTTGGCTGTTTTTTGCGGTGATTGTTCATCACTTGTCTTTGTATACAGCCTATCTTATTCTTAGTGAATTTCTTTTTTATTTGTCTTCCAAAAAACTGCTAGTTTTTTTCTTGGATAACATGTTCTACCATAAAAACAATTGAATTGACCAATAAAATCAATACACATACTAGAAATTTAAATTTTATGGCAAAATGGAAGCTGTCTGACTTGAATTCGAACTTGCGTGAAGGAGTTTTGCTTTACCAACCACGAAGTCTTGTTTTCATTAATTTATAGATAAATTCTTGTAACCAAATTTACTATTTGTTATTGATTTTAATCTTCAATACTTCATGTTTAAATATTTCCCTTGCATGTCAGTTCCCTATTTCTTTTTCTTTTTTTTTTTCGTTTTAGTTATAGAATTATCCTTTTCTTTTTAGTTGCATCTTTTAATATAATATTTTACTAAAGTTATTATTTATTTATATATTTATAGTTATAAGTAATGAAATCGAATTTGATCCTCACAAAATTGTGCTCACACCATTCTCACAGCCTTTTTCATCGTGTATTGAGAATATCTCCATGAATAAAAAGATACAAGTATGGAGATGTTTCCAATGTACTGAAAGGGCTGTAAGAACGGTTTGAACACAATTTTGTGAATCCGCCCTCATAAGTAGTACAAATGGGTTTGACTGATTCAACCTTGGTAAGACTTAGGTTTTGACCTATTTGGCAATATCAGTCCTATCACTCGTCCAGATTTTAGAATACTAATTCATTTATTTGATGCTCTTGAGGGCCACCAGACAGTAAAATCTGGTCCTAAATCCAGTCCTAAATGTAATTGAATTCCTTAATTTAGAAAAAAAAAGCAATCTGATATTGACTACTTTCCAGAAATCAGAGGAACCAGACACATATCTACAATGTTATTCTCCTAGTCACATGTCAACAAATGCGTAACTCTGTTGGATGTAGTGCACTGCAACATAAAGTCATGCATTCTAGTTTAGTTTATCAACCACCAATATAAAATTATAAATATGATAGTTTTAAGAATTCCACCCACTGAACCTTAATTCTAGTTGAATGAAACCTTGTCTGAGACCCATTTTTGTACGGAAAATACTACACTGCAGCCACAAAAACCGGCTGTACTGTAAAGGCAAACCCAGCCAATCACACCCCGTGGTAAGTTACCTACTTGTGACCGGCAATAGTAGGTCACAAGCCAGCTGTAATCCACAGTTATTAAAGATGATTGGCTCAATTTTGGCTTTATGGTTTTGCAATTTTTTTTGCCGTAGTATTGGTTGCCACTTCTATGATATTGTTTGATTGGTTATAAGTTTTTCCTGCCTTTCCAGTATCATAGTTGAACACTTGAGCATATACTGCAATTTGATTTTAGATCTTTTTCAAGTCCTGATTGGGTTTATTGAGTGCCAAATTATTACTTTTGATTGTTTTGATAAATGGTAGAAAGTAGCACTGTTAGTTCTAATTAATGCTCTAGTCCTGTTGACTTTTCCTGCTTTACTTGATTGTACAGGATACATGGAACTGGCCTGTGATTGCTCCCTTGCCCTCATATGGGAGAGGGAGAGAACTACCTGGAGGGAGGTATATGAGTTTTATCCATGGGGATGGAGTTCATGATGTGATAATCACAGGTGGTTTCTGAATTCTACAACTGCTTTTTTCTGCTTGCTTTTACTACATGTGTCATTACCTGAAAACTATTCTCTTGTAGACTACATATGAGTTTACTACATATTAGTCTGTCATATAGCAGAGCCTATTCCAAACTAGTGGTGTGAAAATCGGATTACATATTAGCATTGGATTGAAAATGACTGAACCCTGTCAGATTTCTCCAGATTCCGAAACCACATTATGTGGAAAACTGCCCAAAACTGTTGAGAAGGACCAAACCAATAAGACCACATTAACCACCTGATTTGGCGATGATTCCATGTTCAAATGATTTTCCCTTTACTTTTACCTACTTTGGACTATTTTATGAGTTTGAAGAACAGCCTGACCGTGAATTAACTAAAATGGAACCAGCTTCACTTCCAATTTGCTGCCTTCTTCAGCTTTTAAACTATTTCTAACCAGATAAGCACAAGTTCACAGGTGCATATTCATATGCATTTGTGTATGTGTATAATTGTAATACCTGCAGCAATATATGTGAGGGAGAAAAAGGTGCCAGCATGACATAGAAGTATTGAGGCAATACCAGTGATTTAAAAGGTGCGCCTAGGCACACAGGCGAGGCGCATTTTGGGGTATGCGCCTTGCCCAGGTCCTAGGCGTACCCCTTTCAAAAGGCACACGCCTGGTGCGCCTAGGCGCACCCTTAACATAGACTTGTTCGGGCTTGCCTCGAGGGGCGTGGTACAAAGGCGACTCATAGAATCAAGAATGCAATATGTTTTACATCACATTAGCTACTTGAAGCAATGCAATTAAGGAGAAAAAGAGATTGTGGGTTTTACATGCTTGAAAATGCTTTATATGTTTGCTTTTATTTTTAAATTTTCATTTGAATACGCTTTACATGTTATGTTTATGTATTTTAATTTTAGATAATAGGTTTTTTAAAACATTTATTTTAAAATTTAAGTTTATATTTTTTATTAACATTATTTTTAATATTTTTTGATTTTTTTGCATTTATTTTTAAATATTTTTTGGCATTTTTTTTTGAATTTTATGACTTTTTTTTTGTAATTTTGCGCTTTTCTTGAAAAGGCGTGTGCCTTGCCTTGTGCATTGCGCTTTAAAACACTGGGCAATACTTTTTATTGCATTCTATGCTGTATCTTTTTCCTTTTTCATTTTTTGACAAGTATTTACTTTTCCTTTATTTTTCATTTTTTCTGATTGATATTTTGTTGTATCTTTACCATGTTTTTAAAGAAAATATAATTTGAAGTGTGATGAGTTTTGTCAGAACCAGGCCATTCACAGAGCTGCAAAGGGAGCTTGGATATCCTGAAAGCAAAAGCTCTGAGAACACAGAATCCAGCTGCACATCAAGAATACCTCATGTACATGTTTCTTAAATTCATGGGGAGATGTTCCTAATGCGTAGCTGGCTGCCCATGCTTGCAGAGTCTTTGCAGGGTTTTTCTTTCAGGATATACTTGGGCCAACTAGGCTTTAGAAAATTATGAATACTTGAATGTCCAGTCTGATATCGAGTATGATTTCAAAACAGAACTACATTTTCTTTTACAACATATATTGAGTGGAACATTTTATAGTTAAATAACTAGTGCTTTTGCAGGTGAAAACGGGACAATTGATGGCCAGGGTGATGTATGGTGGAACATGTGGAGGCAGAGATCCCTCCAGTACACAAGACCAAATCTTGTTGAATTTATGAATGCCAAAAACATCATAATTTCCAATGTGATCTTCCGCAACTCTCCCTTTTGGAATATTCACCCTGTTTATTGCAGGTAACAATAGATAAAAACATAAATGTGTACTTAAATCTTGTTCAGGAAGTTCAATGTGATTTTGGTTATTCTCTCTTATGATGCATGTTATTGAATAGAATGTGATTGATGTAATATTTTGTAAACATTGCTGGGGTCAGGGAAGAGTGGATACTGGACTGTCTTAAACAAAACATCTCCAGTTCATCTGCTGAAAATATATGTCTTGGGGGACCAGGAACACCTCTTTTGTTGGGTTGGGGAGGGGGGGGAGGAAGATATCTGTTCTATCAGGTTATGTTGAGAGTTGGTCCTTCTCTCTATCCTCTCAAAGCCTTATTCTCTAGGATCCTGTTAAGTGCCAGTGGAGTATAGAAGCTATAAGGCTTAATATAGAATTGTTTCCTTCCAAACCAATATATGGTCATTCAAGGGACCTAGGACATGGAATCCAGATGACCAAGTAGGGAAGAACTTTATATTAATTCATACTTGAATTGTTCAGGAAATCAATATGATTTTGGTCATGCTCTGTGACGAAGCATGTTATTGAATCTGAGTGTGATTGATATGGGGTCAGGGAAGATGAGAAACTGGACTGGAAGAAGATAAATGGATTGGAGGACCACAGATTTCATGCTCCCAAAACGTTACTCTCTAGGATCCTGCTAAGTTCCAGTGGTGTGTAGAAGTTACAAGGCTCAATATGGGAATGTTTCTGGTTCAAGGGACCTAGGACATGGCATCCACATGACCAAGTTGGGAAGAACTTTCTACAATTGTATATGCATAATTTTTTTTATGGGGCTAACTGGTATTCCTCTTCTTAAAGCAATAAATATTAGGATATATGTAATTTATTTGATTAGTCTCAACTACTCATATGTCTTTGTTATTTGCAGTGGTGTTGTTATCCGATACGTTACCATTTTGGCTCCTTTTGACTCACCCAACACAGATGGAATTGATCCAGGTTACCTCTAATTTAACTCTAATGCGGTGGTAGTATTTGTAACATATAATTGTACAGTCTTCCTGTCCATATATTAGGCTGCCTACCAGATTGGGGCCACAGCTTGATCTGATTGCCCTAATTTCTTCTGAATTATTTATAGTATTAACTCCCAAAGGAACTTCCTGCTTTTGGCAACAAGAGAATATCCATAATTGTCAGCAGGGACACCAAATGACTAGGATCATTGATTTAATGTCTTAGTGCAATATTAGGTAGAAATGTTTCTATAACCCAGACAGTCCCTTGAATTTTGTAGTTTTAAGTTTAACTATTTGTTGATGCAGATTCGAGCTCCAATGTTTGCATAGAGGATTCATACATTGCTACAGGAGATGATTTGGTGGCAGTGAAAAGTGGGTGGGACGAATATGGCATCGCCTATGGCCGTCCGAGCTCTGGCATCACCATTCGACGGGTTACAGGTTCATCCCCTTTTTCTGGAATTGCAATTGGAAGTGAAACCTCTGGCGGGGTGGAGGATGTCTTGGCAGAGAACATCAATCTGTATAACATGGGTATTGGTATCCATCTGAAGACAAATATTGGCAGGGGAGGGTTCATAAGAAATATTACAGTGTCAGATGTGTACATGGAGAATGCACAAAAGGGGATAAGGATAGCAGGGGATGTTGGAGACCACCCAGATGACAAATTCAATCCAAATGCTCTCCCTGTTGTCAATGGTGTCATGATCAAGAATGTGTGGGGTGTGAAGGTTCAGCAGTCCGGGTCAATACAGGGCCTGAAGAACTCACCGTTTACACAGATTTGTCTCTCCAACATCAACCTTCGTGGTGCAGTGGCGCCAGGAAGTACTCCATGGAAGTGCTCTGATGTTAGTGGGGCGGCTGTTCAGGTAAGCCCTTGGCCATGCTCAGAACTAATCGGCACCGGTAGGACTGCTTCCTGTTCAAGTTACTTTTGAGATGTTTATGATATTAATGTCAGCACGGGTATCAGTTTAAGACATTTATCCATTAAACTGCAAATGTATAATCCATCTAGTAATGATAGACGATTCTTTTTTTTTTTTTCCATTGGACAAAAGCTCAATGAAATGAAAATAAACTGTTCCTGCAATCTCAAAAGGAAAAGTAATTTATTCTTAGCTTACGGTTGTCCTGAAACTAAGTAAAGCCTCTTCTCGTCTTTAGGAAAAATCCTTAAACGACCTTGAGGTTTCTGAAGTTGACTTAAACATACCCTGAGCCTGAGGTCAGTGGACTGAAACATACCCTCCATCACTAAAACGTTACATGTTTGCCCTTTGAAACACTTGTAAGTTCAACCTATGCTTTCTTGTGTGTTGGACCAACCTTCCATTCTTTCTTTGTTCCTTACAACCCCAACAGAGTAGCAACTTCCCCTCCCCAGTCGAAGCAGTTTGGACGTATGATGCCAACCGTGGCAACTGGCAACAGCACCTGGTATAAGGACATGTATGACGCTCACGAGTCACGACAGAGCTGCAACCCCCCTCATTTTATTTTTGATTATTAAATCCTCTTTCCTTGTTTGCTGAAAATGGGTTTCTCTGAATCTGTCAAAATAACCATTCTTCTGTAGTTCCTATTCATCTCAATTTCTCCAATCTGTGCTCCAAAGCTAGAAAGCTAACAACTCTACCGGCCACCACCTATCTTTTAACCTATCACAATGGAGCTTTAATCGAAAAAGTCCCTTTTCTATTCTCTGATACAGTAAATTCACCCCAGCTTAAAATCCATTGTTGCAGACTTGGAAACAACGAAAGGCTTCCTCGTCTACAACATCTTCGGTTTCTCAGTGGTGGAAAATAGGAATGTTAATGGGTCGGGTTCGGCATGGGTTTGCCTCAACCCTAACCCGACCCTCCAGCACCCCGACCTGACCCATCTTAAAAATAAACGATTCCCGAACCCAATCGAATCCCATAGAGTTTAACTTGATTCCGACCCAGCTTGACCTATATAATTTCAAATATATTTTTTAACACAATTTTAAGACTTAAAATACATTAATTTAGATAAGGAAATTATTTTATAAATTTTAAAGTGTTATTTTTTTTCATTTAAAAAAAATCAAAATCAACATATAAATAAATTATAAACTTTAAGGCTATAAAATTAAAAGGCAAAAAGTTTCAAGAATATAGAGGATATCATGATTTAGCAGGGGATCAGCCAAAACTAGAACCCGACTCAAGTCAAAGAATCAAAATCATAGATCCCAGATTTTCGAGTTAGGCCAAAAAGCCGATTTGAAACCCTGAAGTCTCGTAATCGTTCCAACTTCCAACGGCAAAGGACATTGAGGTGGAGGGGTTCTACGTGAGCAGCTGCGGCTTTCATGGCTCAGACCGGAAGAAGTCGGCCTACATCTGGGTTGGCAACTCTGAGCGTGTTGCCATTCCACCAGCTCATCTATGAATCACAAACCCCAAAGAGAGAAGGTTGCCATTGCACGAGTTCACATCTGCGCTCACAGAGGACGCTCTATAAGTGACCCATTGCTATAGGGCTCTATTTAGTTTGTTATCTCCAGTTCTATAGGATAATAATGTAGGTAAAAGAGCTTCTGTCAATTTAACTGTCATAAATCGACTTCTGACTTCTGACACTCAAGGGTATGTTATAAGGAATTTTTCCCTATGCTTTGTATAAACTAGCGGGATTCGGCTTAAGTCAGTGCAAGGTATGGAGATATTCCCAACTCTGTACTAGGCCCAACCAAGATAAGCCCACCTAACTCACAATTCAAGGCCTGGGTCTAGGATTTTTGTTCAAGCCTTGCCTCAGGCTTGAGTGTGCATCAGGCCCACAAGTTTTCAAGTTGGATTTGTTTCGGACACTTCAATCCCAATTTGGGCTTTCCTAGATGAAACATAATTAGAAGACTTAATTAATACATTAAAAATATTTATTATCTTGTAAATAATATTAAAAGTTCATCCAATACTTCAATCCTTACTCGGGGCTTGCCTAGATGAAACGTGATTAGAAGACTTTTAATTAATTAATTATATTGGTTAATTGAAAAATATATTAAAAACATTTATTATCTTGTAAAAATTCATGGAGAGAGTGGTTGGAGATAAATGAAAATTTGAAAATAAAGATAAATGAAAAAAATAAAAATAGTACTATAGTGGGAGTGGAGAGAGAGATAGGGTTGTCAATGGGTTGGGTCCAAGTAGAACTGAAACCGACTTGACAATAATTTCTAAGGACTCAGAACCTAATTGGACCTAGAATCAAACTGATCGGTTCTCAGGACAATCAGCTCTAACTTGATGGACCTGATTATAATAAACTTATTGAAAAGAACTGGAACCGAACTGACCCAATTGTTTTAGGTTCATCAAGTCCAACCTGACCCATTGACAGCCTGAGAGAGAGAGAGAGAGAGAGAAGGGGTAATAAATGAAAAGTAAAGGGAGTAATAACAATTTTGTGGAAATATTATAATTACATGTTGATGGCACTCTTGTAATTATAGGGAAACTCAATGTCATATGCACAACTAAAAAAGAGGCAATGGTTGCTTTCAATGGTATTAGCAAAAAACCCTAACAAATATTGGTATTCTTGTGATTACATAAAAATTCAATATCATATGCACAACTAAAAAAGAGGTCGTGATTGCTTTCAATGGCACTCTTGTAATTAGTAAAAAAACGCAATGTTACAAATAATGTTTCTCTTGTAATTAATAAAAAAAATGGGATTATAGCTGATAAGGGCAACTTTTGGCTCTTATTATCAATAAAAATAATTTTAAAATATGGTAACTTTAGTAAAAAAAATATCAAAAAAGGGTACAAACACTGTTCATCTTTTTCTTCCTTCAAACCATTGAATAAATCTCCCCACCTCCGGTCTCCATCTTTGACTTTCCTCCTCCTCCTTTTGATGGCCATGAAAGAGCTTCATCGTCAAGCACTACCTAGGAAGGCGGATGCCATGAAAGACTGGCATCCAGAGCTCAGCACTACCTAGAAGAGTTTCGATGGCCATAGCCAAGATCGCCATGAAAGAGCTTTATCCGCCTTCCACCTTCAGACCACTTTGATGGAATGCATGGTCTCCGTTTTTCCTCGTCGACCACTACTTGGAGTTGGGAATCTGAACTTCTTCGGGCCCTACCAATTATTTTGATGTTGCCAATTACTTTTTTTTTCTCAAAATTTTGACAATAATAATGAATCATCTAGAGTTGGGAAGGCGAATGAAGCTCTTTCGATGACCATGCATTCCATCAATTGGGAAGGAGGACAAAGCTCCTCCTTTCGATGGCTATGAAAAACCGGCGATCTTGGGCGTAGAGGTGGATCTGAAGTAGAGGGTTCTGGTTTGAGAACAAATTCATTCGTCCAGATCTAGTTCATTGAGTTCTAGAAGGCGGATGAATTGTTCATAAGCCAAATAGACAGATGAGAGAGCGGGGGATAAATCATTGACGACGAAGCAAATAGGAGACGGTAGCGAACCACAAGATTTATTGGTATAGTGTTTCATGTGTTCTTCTAACTATTTAAGAAGAAGAACTCATAGCAGCTCTGCTCCAAACTTAGATGCAAAAAAGAAGAAGAAAGATGAGGAAGAAGAATAAGGAGGAGGAGGAGGAGAAAGATAGAGACCAGAGGTGGGTAAATTTATTCAATGGTTTGAAAGAGGAAGAAGATGAACAGTGTTTCTACCCTTTTTTGATATATATTTTTTAAAAAAGTTGCCCTATTCTAGAAATTATTTTAAAAAGAATATTTATATTGATTATAAGACCCAAAATTTGCCCTTATCAAGGAGACAAATAATGACATTCTTGCAAATAGAAAATGTCCATGAACATCACACAAACCATTTGTGTCAAAATAACAAATATTTCACAGAAGCCCATATATACTAATAAACATGGTTTTCAAAACCAGACTGGACCGGACAGTCACAGTGAAAAAATTGGGAACCAGTCAAATGACCAGTTCCGTTTTACCCCAGAACCATTGATTTGGTTAGCAAACTGCTGACTTGGGCGTTGAACCGTTTCAACAGTTTGGCTGATTTTTATTTTTTTTGTCAAAATGGGCTGCCCATTCGGTTCGAACAATCAGACCGAACGACCCGAGAACCAGAACCCTGACCATTCGGTTTTAAAATCCTTGCTACTAAAAGTCAGAATGAGAATTGCATTCCTAAGGATGGAATGGCTAATCCTGCATACGCCAAAATTCCATTCCACTTAGAATGGGAATGGAGAATACCATTTCGATCAACCAAACGGTTGGAACTGAAATGGGACTTTCCAATTCTGTTTCTAGGCACCCATTCCAAAAAAATAAACGAACCCTTAGAATGGTTTAACATTTAAGTTCCGTTTGATTTGAGATTAGAATGAGAATTGAAATCCCTTGAAATTAGAATTTATTTGGTTTAGATATGAATCATGATCAAATTCCATAAGAAATAACACCCAAGAAGGATTAGCGTGAAGCCGTGAATTAAAGAGAAAGGGGTTTAAAGGGTTTTCCAAAAATAGAAACGAAATCCTATTTTTTTATTTGATTTAGATATGAATCAAGATCAAAATTCCGTAAGAATAACACCCATTAGCGTGAGTTAAAGAGAAAGGGGTTTAAAGGATTTTCAAAGAATAGAAATCGAAATCCTATTCCACCAAATGGCTAGAATATGATCTGATCCGAATGGATCCCCGTTCTAAACAAATAAATTAAAGAAATAATTAAAATTAAAAAAAAAAAGCTAAAAACGGATCAAACTAATTAACCACCCATCGTTGACCGATTCAATGATTTTTAGGCAAAGACCTAAATTTGTGGTAAAAAGAACCAATTGCCTGGACAACGGCGGTTCGAAAACCATGGCCTATTATCACCCAACGCAAATATGCATGGAGTCCCACGGGAACAATCTTGTATTAATAGCATAAATACAATTTGTACCAAATAGAGAATATAATTATAGAGATCATTTATTTTAAAATAGGGAAAGAAGGAACCAAACCAATTCAGACAATTTTCATATATGTACACCTACGCATCTCT